AAGTAGGACCTTTGTGTACTTTGTGATTATCTGTATAATGACATGAATCCTCCCCCCTCTAATACAGGCTTCAGTGAGCCTATATTAGATATGTTATTTCAAAATCTATTTTGCTTGTTTTAACATAATTTAAACAGACTTATTACTTTTAAAAAATCATCCCAATCTCTCCCTCTCTAATAGCAACTTCATCTATGACTTTTCTCATTTTGTCTTTTTTGTATTTTTCCTTATTATCTCTGAATTAAGATGTGTACTGCTGCCTTTTAGCTATTTAATTTTAGGCTTAACCTTTGACTTTCACAATGAAGATGAGGGTTTAGTTCTTTTTTAAAATCATACTCACTGTATGTATATATATTTCTATTCTCTGCCACGTAGGGTAAAATATTTATTTCTTTGGTGTCCTATGTTTCCATCAAAAATTAATTTCTGAACCCTAATTTGGATTTAAAATGCAAAGTTGATTCTATTAATTTCAACAATGTGCAGATTGCCCTTCCAGAGTCTTTTGACCAGTTCTCAATGAGGCTTTGGGTCTTGTCTTATTATGCATGTGTACCATTATTTTGGGGGGTATGCTTTACCTTCCTCTTGGGTTGGATCTGTCATTAGCAGGAACCTATTAATTCTTCTTTTTAAAAATTTATGTTCTTATTTTGATGGAGCATCTCCTTCATCAGACTTAAATGATGTCTCATGTATGTGTCATTTTATTCTAGTTTTTGGTTTTACTGTGGGAAGTTCGGTGCCATGCTTAATTATTTTTTTATGGTAATGAAGATTGAACCCAAGGGTGCTCTACCTGTGAGGTATTTTCTCATCCGTTTTTAGTTTTTAATTTTCAGACAGGGTCTCACTGAGTTGCTGAGACTGATTTCAAAGTTGCAGATCCTCTTGTCTTAGTGTCCCAAGTAGCTAGGATTATAGGCGTGCCCCACCACATCCAGCTTGCCATACTTATCCTTTATCTTTCTCTCTTTTTTTCCCTTGCTTCTGTCTCTGTAAAAACTTAGGGTTTTCTTTTGTCTCCAATGTTAGGGAAATTTACAATGGCACATTCTTAAGCTTCATGGGTCTTTTCAAATTAGAAATTCATAGTTTTCATTTATGGGACTTTGCATGACTCATGATACATATATAAGTCTTCTCTGTTTTCTCAAGTCTCAAGAGAGTTAATATTATTTATATGCTGAATTTCCTGAATTGATGCTCTAAGTTACTTAAACCTTTTCCTATATGTTTTGCTCTATTAGATATTTCTTACCATTTATTTTTTCACTCATCTGAGCTCTTGATTTATACAATATTTTTTKGGGGGTGGGGAGTTGCTGAGGATTGAACTCAGGGGCACTCAACCACTGAGCCACATCCCTATCCCTATTTTGTATTTTATTTAGAGACAGGGTTTTGCTGAGTTGCTTAGCACCTCACTGTTGCTGAGGCCAGCTTTGAACTTGAGATCCTTCTGCCTCAGTCTCCCGAGACGCTGAGATTATAGGCCACTATGCCTGGCAGATACAAAACTTTGTTTTTCTAAAGTTTTTATTTTCTTTCTTTCAGTGATCTATTTTTTTCCAAGTGGAAGTGGATTTCTCTATGCTTTTGTTTTATTTGCAGTCTTTGATGTTTGAGGCATTCTTGAGATACTTAAGTGACTATGAATTAGTGGCTCATGCATAGGAGAGCAGAGCACTGGAAGATGTGTACATATATGTTACTAGAAGAGTTTCCTGAAAGCTCTTGTGCTTGTCACTAGAATGCCTCCCTGTAGGATTACACAGATTCACTGAGAAACCCTCAGTTTCTCTATCTTCAGCTTTTTGTTTGTCCCTGGCCCAGTTCCCTAGGGAAGAAGGCATAAGCCACATGCACTGAGTTCTGGAACCATGGTGGGGAGGAGGATGGGAGGCAGTAGTGTCCGGTGCATGCATGTAACCCACGAGCCTGCAGTAAGGTGGGGCGCCTGCCCTTCTCTGTGCTTGGCTTCCCATAGTCCCTGACCTGCATGGTGGAAAAGGAAAATAAGGAAGGTGTCTCAATGATGTGACATACATGTTACCCTTCCAGTCCTCTGCAGGGGTGAGGAAGACAAATTACTAGCCTGTAGGGAGTAGGGAGGGGTATCCAAGCTCTATGTAGAAAAAATAGATTTTTAGCCTCCTGTTTTCATTATCTCCTTCACCTTCCTTTCTCATAGTGCCACTTCTAGATTCTTTGGGGAGTTGTCTGGTAAACTTATGCTGCTTCTCAGCTTCTCCCCACCTTTGTTGAAGGAAACTGTTTTCTTGGCTTTGTTGAATCAGCCATTGTTTGTCCTTCTGCTCCCCCAGCTTTTATTTCTGGTGTCTCCTCCTTCTTGATCTCTGATTTTGTAGGTTTCTGTCTAGCCCATTTTCCTCTTATTGTAGGAGGATTCCATAACTAGACTACTCCATAATCCACTCTTTTCACTAAACATTATATTCTACCATTTTTTTCTTGTCAATGAGTATACTTAATTCTGTTTCAACATTTTAATGGCTATAAAGCCATCTCATTTCAGAGATGTAACTAATCCCTTACTGTGGTAAGCCTGGATTGTGATAAGCAATACTGCAAGGAATCTTCTAGCTAAATTTTATACCACTCTTTAAATAGATTGATGATGTTAGAAAATTGTCAATCTTCTCTTAAACTGTTTCTCCCAGATTGATGTCTTATTTCTAATCAGATGAAGAGGTTTCCTTTTCTACTTTAGACCATTCAGTGTCACACATTTCATTTAACGACTTTTCCCAGAAGATGGGAAATTCAGTGGATGCTGTATTCATCACAGTAACTCAGGTTGTGTCTGGGGAAGTGGTAGGCACCCAATACATGTTCCTTAAGTAGATATTTGCATAATAAATGAATTTTTATTATTTTATTTTTAAACTTCAAAGACAGCCTGGTATGGAGGGAAGTAGAATGCAGTTAAATACCCTGTTTTCATCACTTTATCCCTTCAGGCAATTCAGGTCATCAAGTTAGTAAGGTTGAGAACCAGATTTAAAAGAAAGGAGCCTTGGGACAGGGTAATATAGTGACATACACACACACCACCTGGATCACAAGCTTGCTGACATTCCTCCTGAACAAATGGCTTATAAAATGAAGTACTAACAGGAACTATGTTTAACTTTTCTTTTTCTGTTGTACAGAAATAATATACACCTATTGAGATTAATGTGTGATTGGATTTAACAAATAGTCTTTGCTTAATCTAGCCTAGGGTTTCCCAAAATGGAGTCTGCACATCAGCTATCTCAAACTCAAATGGATCTTATTGAATATGCTCTTTCCTTGACTCACCTGAGATTTTCAGAACCATAAGCACTGTGGACAGGGAAGGATTCTTTTTTTATTATTATTATTAGTTGCTCATGACAATACAATGATCTTGACACATCATACATTTGAATCAAATGGGGTATAATTTCTCATTTTTCCAAGTGTACAGGTTGCAGAATCACATTGGTTATATAGCCACGTTCATACATACAGCAATACTAGTGTCTATAAACGTTTAAAGTACCTCACATGTCCACTGGTCAACATCCTTTACTAGACTAAGTTGGCAAAGAAATGTTTGTTAGGTACACATAATGGAAGTTTGAAAAACGTAATGAAATATCAGAGTTAATAATGCTAGAAGGAGATTCTAATAAATGTCATTTTATTAATTTTTACTTCAACTACTAGTCTCTAAGAATTTGACTAATTAGCTTAGAAATTGAGGAAATCATCCTAGATTATTTTCCCCTAAATTTCTTATTCTGTGATGTAACTGGTGAAATTAATTTGTGATTCAAAAAAAATCACACTTATTCTGTGATGTAACTGGTGAAATTAATTCGTGATTCAAAAAAAATCAAAATTGCATATTATGGCACTTCTTATACATAACTTCAATTAAAAAACAGAGCCCCACAGTATTTGGTTTAGATAATATTTTGTTGAAATTTGATTTATAGTCTAGTTAGATGTGTTATGAGAAACATTATAAATTGAACATTGGTTAAGGTGATAGTTATGGAGGGATATGGTGTATATGAGAGCTCTTAACACAATTTCTGAAACACACATCAATTAATGCATTCTCCCTTTTATGTAACATATGTTTGCTAACCTTGACATCAAATGTAGGTGTTTATAATTATCTTCATTTTAAAGGATAAGCAAGTGAAGTTCAGGAAGATTATTTATAAAGTTTTCCAAGGACAACTAGCTAGTGTATACTCTAGTTGATTGTAAAACCAGGAAATTTTGTCTACAAAATCATATCTACTATATTGTCATCCACCAAAAATAATAGGAACATCACTAAATAGTATGTCAGCACCTTCACGTATAAAAGCTGATGGGGAAGATGTATCTTTAAAAGTACATCTTGATATTTACTGTTTTTATTTTCCTACCTGATATTATTCAAGGAAATATTTCTGATAATTTCTTTTTTAAAAATACGTAATGTGTGTCAAATACGGAAACTTTGTGATGTGGTAGAAAGACAGTTTTAGGTTTCAAGCAATCTGTATTTTAAATTCTAGATCCTTTATTTAAACTTTGTGAGTCTTGATTTTTCTCATCTGAAAAAATGGATTTGATAATATTTACCCCTTGCATCAACATAAAGAGTAATCTTTAAACATGGATTCATTGAGCAACTTGTACTCAGTTAAATACAAGTATTATAATTTGATACATAAAGCAGTATCCTGGGAGGATTCTGGGTATTTATTTGGGACATATATAGAATATGAGACATACATAGAAGGTATATTTTTAATATAAAGTGGAAAACCCTCTCTTTTCTGTTTAAACCTTAGTCATGAGTATTTCATTTCTTATTTACTCTCACATTATTCTTTGGAGAGAAGATTGTGGCAGGCTACCCTGCATTTGCTTTAACTCTCACTCTTTYTTCCTTTCAGCAAACTTCCATGATAACATGCTTTTGCGAAGTTCAGGAAAATTAAATGTGGGCACCAAGAAAGAGGATGGGGAGAGCACAGCCCCCACCCCTCGTCCAAAGGTCTTGCGTTGTAAATGCCACCACCATTGTCCAGAAGACTCGGTCAACAATATCTGCAGGTTGGTGATATAAATCATTTAAGCCTAGCTTTAACAAGTGCTCACACTTTTTTTTTTTTAATCGTAAGCCAGTATTTCCAAAGAATACATTTTGAAGAATAGTACCTAACTACAATGATGCTTAGAACTGTGCTGTACTTAGGGAAATACAGAATTGTGTTTTACCCTGACACAGCATTCTGAGACGTCTTCCTTCCTTCATATAGCACTTATGCACATAAACAGCACAGATMCTAGCCTTTCTGTCAAGGAGCAAAACTACTTATTATTATTTTTTTTCAAAATACCAGCTCCCTGCAGTCAATTCAACAGCAGCAAGTGCCACATATGTGTGATGTTTTTTGTTTTAAGAATTTGTGGGAAAGAACACCTAAGCTATTGGAAATATTGACAAACTGGCTCTGGGAAGCAATATCATGTGGAGCATATGTGAGTCCATCAGATGTCTTAGGAAAGACATTGTCAAAGAACTAGAAAAGTCAACATTGAACTTGATAATCATGGTTTTATAAATGCTTTGTAACATTTGAAACTGAACTGTAGGCATTTTTCTTTCTTACATGTCCTTATGCACTCCCATCCATCTTGCTGATCACCATGGCTGTGTTTACTCTCTAGTGAGAAAGGCAGTCTAATGAGGCCAGAATGTGCCAAGGGAGAAGTGGATAAGTTAACCAGAGAAGTGTGGATCTCAGGAGTTAAAATGTCAGAGAAGCAGAACAGACTGTGTTATAGTTTGGATCTAGAAATATCCCCTGAAAAGCTCATGCTTTTAAAACAAAATCCCCAACACAGGAAGGTTCAGAGGTGGGGCTTTTAGGCAATGATGAGAGCTGTAACCTCATAAGTGTCTTAGTTCATTTGGTGAATTAATAATTTGAATGGACAGTTACAGGTGGTAACTGTAGGCAGGTGGGGCAGGGCTGGAGGAAGTAGTTCATTGGAGGAGTGCCCTCGGGGATTTGATCTTATCCCTGGCTTCTTGCCTATCCTCTCTCTTTGCTCCCCAGCTGCCATGAATTGAGCAGCTTTCCTCTGTGATACCTTCTGCCATGATGTTCTGCCTCACCCTAGGCCCAGAGCCACAGAGTCAGCCAGCCTTCAACTGAACTTCTGAAACTGAGCAAAATAAACCTCTGAAACAAAATGAACTTTTACTCCTCCAATTCGTTCTTGTCAGGTATTTTGGTTAGTGACAAAACAAAAAACACCTGACTAACACACATCTGGGACTTTATCAGCCAAGAATGTATGGGAAACTGATTTGAGTCTTTTTTTAATTTTCCTTTCAGAGAGTTTTTGTAAAGTTTCCTATGATGCAGAAAATCTAATATAGGTTGAGAATCTCTAAAAATTCAGAAATCCAAAATGCTCTAAAATCTGAAATTTTAGATTACAGAAATGATGTGCCATAAATTGAAACTTACAAACCTAACCTCGTGTGGCAGGTCATAGAATACAAGCTCATTACACACATTGTATGTTATCTTCAGGCTATGAGTATAAGATGTATGTGAAACCTAAATGAATTTTATTTTTAGATTAGTTCCTGGCCCTTAGATATCTCAGGAATATGCAGTTATTCTAAAATCTGAAAAATTCTCATGTCTGAAATACCTCCAGTATGGGTAAGGACTGCTCACCTTGATAAGCTTACTAGAATATCCTGAAGATCTATATAATTAACACAAGAAATAACATGTTAACTGACTAACACAGGGAGAGAAGTTGTTGGGTGTATTCAAAAGCACATGTCTCATTTAATCAGCAGTACCATTCAGAAGGGAGGGGAATTGCATATTCTCATTTTAGACATGGGATTTGGGATCCAGGGTGGTCTGGTAACTTGGCTCTTTACTGCAGAACAATGCAGAGATCACTGAGTTTTGTGCTATGGTAAAATAATTTCTAGTTGTTTTTTCCTGGGAAACACTGTCTCTTTACAATAAACAGAAGATTGTCAGGAAAATTAATTTGTTTTTCTGAATAAAGATAAATTAGCAGGAGGAAGCAAATTAAGGGGAGGTAGTTTACTGTTTTATCTAAGCCTGTGGTGTTCGTAATACATCTCTGTGTCATTTGAGCTATTGTCTTAGTAATCCTTTGTTTAGGATTTTCCATATCTATCTCAGTTTAAAATATTTGTCTTTTTTTTTTTTTTCATTAGCCACAGGAGTGTACTAAGTTGGCTTGGGAGAAAATGGCCAGGCAGGGAAATTCTCTGTTGTAAGAAGGGGAGCTTATTGTGTTCAAAGAAGACTGTTTTTTTTTAGAACAGAGGGTGTAGGAGATGTGGTAGGAGCTGAGCATGGAGACAGGGGAAAGATAACTATGCCTGGTAGGCTATCGTAAGCAAACCTAAGAGCCTTGGAAGCCATTGATAGAGGTGTTTCAGTGGTAGGGCCAATGGAGAGTGACATGATCCTTTTTGTCTTTTTAAATTTGCTTTGCTACAGTATATTAAATGGGTCAGGAGGAAACAAAAGTGAATTCAAGAAATACAGTTAGAGAACTTGGAAGGGGATTCAGTAAGTACAGTCCACGTGAGAAAAGGATCTGGAGCTAGTGTGGTGTTGGTGAGAGAATTGAATGCATTTGAGAAACATTCAGAAGGTAAAGTTGAATGTTAATGGATTGGATATTGGAGGGAGAAGGACAAAAGAATTTTACAAGACTTAGGTTTAGATTTAGGTGCATAGTATAGCTTTTTATTGAAAGAAGACAGAGGCAAAGAACCATATTCCTGGCTCCAAATTGAGTTTTGGGTTTTTTTTTTTTTTGACATTTTCCAATAAATAAGTGAAACAGTCTGTACAGTGGGATATGGATCTGTGCTCAGAATAAAGATTGCTTTGATAGTGTAGCGTACGTGGAGCATTGGTTAGTGTTTGCTGTAAAATACACAATCTCAAAGTCACAGAGGCTTACATGTAAAGACGTTTATTTTTTACACATAGAGTTTGATAGATGGGTTGCAGTTGTGCTGGGCTCTGCTGGGATTGGCTGGGCTTGACTTCAGGCTGCCAATGGGGTACAGGCTTGCTCTATATTTCTTCATTTTTCTTGGACCAGTGGTTGCCTGGGACATTTCTTTCTCATTTCATCACTCCCGTGGAGGAGTGATGTTTTAAAGCCCCTTTCTGCATCATGTCCTCTAATATTTCATTAATCAAATCAAGTGATGCAGTCAAGCTCAAAGTCAAGGGGAAGCCATCATGATGGAGAAGGATGCGGAATTGGGATCAATAGTAGAACAATCTACCACCTACCAGAGCAGGACTGAGCCTTGAGACATTTAATGCTTGGGTCAAGGACATGTCCCAGGAGATTAAGAATTAGTGTCCCCAATGCTAATTTTACCAAGGGAAATATTAAGGCTGACTATCTTCAATGCAATTTGAGGTCAAGTAGAAAAAGAACTAGAAAATGGCAATCAGGTCCAATGACATCAATAGAAGCAGGTTGGAAATATTTAAGGTAGTAGAGATGGAAGCCAGGTTGAGATGGGCTTTGAATTATATGTTTGCCAATCTTTGATTTTTGATAATGAAAGAAAGAAAATCACAGGAAGAAAAACAGCAATGACCAAAGAATCCCTCAAAAGAACATAGTTATGACCAGCATAGGTGGGTTAACTTGGAGAGGTCAACAGAAAACTAATATTTGCTGAAACTTTTATAAGTTTATAAGTTTAAAATAACTTTTATAAGTTTCAGTAGCATATTTATTTTACCTATCTTTAACTAATAAACATTTCTATATAGAATGTAGCATTATCTATATTTTCCAGGTAAGAAATCTGAGGCTATGGAAAGTTAAGTAATCAGTAGGCATGATGACATGATGAGAAATTGTGGCCACAATTCCAAAATCACGAATTCTTAGCCAAAAGCCAACCCTGACACTGGTTCTTAGAGGATTGAACATCCACTCTTTTTTTTTTTTTTAGAGAGAGAGAGAGAGAGATAATTTTTTAATATTTATTTTCTAGTTTTCGGCAGACACAACATCTTTGTAAGTGGTGCTGAGGATTGAACCCTGGCCGCATGCATACCAGGCGAGCGCGCTACTTCTTGAGCCACATCCCCAGCCCCAACATCCACTCTTGAGTAAAATGCACATGTATTTTTCTAATGAGATTTCAACTCCAATTGAGACTTCCATGAGCTGAGATCAATAATGTGCAAATCACAAGGACTACTTTTGTTCCCTTGTCCTAAGACATAGAGTAAATCCTTGACTTTCCACCTTCATTTCTGTTAGCTCACACTGGATTCTTTGCCCTCCAAAGAGTAATTCTCTAGATTTCTCTGGTGAAAGATAGCCACCCCCTCTAAAAGTAAAATAAAAATGAATTATTAAAAAAAGAATATAAACTTTGCAAATTACATGCCCTTTTTTTCTATTTCTATCATTTAGACATGGATTTATACACTGAAATTACTGTATGAGTTTCAATTTCTATATTAACTCCTTCACAGACCAGCAATAAGCAATTTTCTGTCCTGCTGGGATGTAACTTAAGCAACGCTGCATTAAGTCTTGCACTCTGAAGTAAAGCAGTTTTCAAGGCAAAGGGGTGCTTTCTTATGCCTTACATAAGGGCTGGTCTAAATTGTTTGGCCTGAGGCCTTGTACCAGGCAAATGTCAGTCAAACAGTGTGTCCCAGGAAGGCTTCATGTTCATCACATCCCAAAAGGGACTAGAAACGAGTACTATCTACTATAAAGAGATTCTGAAATATGTCACTGTGAGATTGTGAGATATGTTAATTCAGAGGATGTGTCGTCAGTTCAGGGGTTCGTAAATTCTTCACTAGTACCATCAATTGTTCGCTCTATCAACCAAGTTCCAAGGCCAAAGTCATGCCTGGATTGATCTCTATTAGCTGCACGTGTGTCTGCTACCCAATTGCATGCCATTCCCATTGCTCATGGTTTGCATATTGGAGAATATAGTGCAAATATATCATGACTGAGTATCTATATATCTATAATCC